TAATCTCTGGGATTCATTGGGGAACAGCAACTCTTCTATTTTAGGTGCTTATGTGTTCGGCCAGCAATAAAAGTTCATATTTTATATGCAGTTCAATAAGTGAAGTAAGTAGAATCTCTGTATGAGACTAATAGAGCATACTCATGACACAAAATGAAACATCAGATTGGAGGTCGAATTTATTCTCATACGTAATTCAACAGGAAGTTCGAGACAGTAATATGAATAGTAACAAAAGGTTGCGTAAGATGATTAATACTAAACCTAGCCGATGATAACTAACAGACAAACTATGTAATGGTATAATGAGTTGAACTCAATTGATAGGACTATCATCAAGATTATGTGCAAGCAGAAAAAGACCTGATCAAAAGGCGATACCATCATATAAGAAACAGAGTTAAATGTTAGATTACCAGGGCAAAGAAAGACACCACTACTTCTTTTTGAAACCACAATTCTGATCCCAGTGGTTTCATTGTCGCGACCTCATGGAAGTTGGGAAGGTTCAAATAATGTTGTCTGTTGGTTATCTTGAAGGATTCTGGGTTATCTACTTCATGGCGTGTATTGATAAGATGCCGAGTGACTTCACCACTAAAAGTACTTGTTCATTTGAGATGTTGGCTTTTCGGTACATGTCCAAAGGACCTAAGGTGTATACATCTCTTTGTTCCCTGGATATGGCTGTCACGCCAGGTGCAAGTAGACGTGTACACACAGTTAGAGGAAACGGGGGAAGAGAAATTGTCGACTTTTGATTATAACAAACAGCATGCTGTTCTGAATAGAGGGATCAACCTGGCTGAAGGATATCCTCTGTTCAGTGTACATTTCAGTTGTTCACTAATTTCCCCAGAGAAATCATCACCCTTGAAGTTGATTTCAGTAAAAACAGATTTCTTTAGCCTGTTTTCTCCAGCTCTCATGTATTTGTTGATAAACTTCTGTGGGTGACCGTTGTCTCAGGTGTAAATCTGTCGTTGAATTATGTAAGTTTTCGAGCTGAACTCCTGCTGGTTACTTTACTGGGCACATGAGGCATAAATCTTAGGAGAAGTGCTTTGGTTTAGACTGCATATAATTTTACTCTACGTTGAAGATACGTATATCGGGACCATCTGCAAAGATCTCATAAAACATTTCCCTAAACCAGGTCTTTGACAAGATCTTGTAAAATTGTTGTATGTTTTATGCTGGAGATCATAAAAAATGAGGAATTTTATTCGACACGCGATGTTTTAACGTCCAGTAAGTTTTTCAAAAGCGCTAGCCTTTATACTTAAACTAGTTGTAAGTACTTTTGTTGATTTGATATGAAATTTAAGGTACGTCAAATATTTCTGAAAGAAGAAGGTGGTTTATACAAATGCAGTGACTTGATGACTTGATAAGGAAAGCAGTTTCAGCTGAGGCATTGATTATAAAAGTGAATTCTGATTACTGACTTAGGTATTCTGTAACTTAATGCCACCTACCGATTCAGTAACTTAAACGATTTGACAGACAGATATTTCTGTTGTTTCATATTTGAAATAGGCACTGCATGATTATCCAGTTCCACTCCAGAGAATTTAACACAATTGATAAGAAGTAGTTAGAACTTGACACATTTATATATGCCAAGTTTGTAAGGTATATGCCAAGTTAATCTCTTTGCATAACAGCCTCATATTAATTTAGCTGACACCTTATTAGCATTTCAGGACACATGAAATCCATGAATTCTTTTATACGATTGCACGAAAAGTTAAAAAACGTAATCACATCCATCTATGTCAGGCTAGAACTTATAACAGTAGTCCATATTGGACCTGTTGATGACAAGTTGTGAATGTTTATCCAAGTGCATTTATGCTGGTCCATCTGATAGCTATTTCAATTGATAATTACTATTACGGAATGTGTGCAACCAAAACATTTGAGGGAACACTGTATTAGCAAAGCTCAACAAAAAAATCAGGGAATCATTTGCATGCGCTTCCTGGATTCCACTGCTAGCCACTGCCCATCATTACTAATCATTTGCATGAATGAAAGAAACTGAGTTATTTTTTGTCAATATCATTTATTTATTCAATCTAAAAAAGAAAACAGCTAAGACAAATTACCATATCTAATCAAGGAAAATAATATTCAGTAACCATTTTAGTCATCTATATAAAACATTTCGAAATCAAGTTTGTATAAATTCCCTATCCTTGATTGTGCATGTTTGCAAGTAAATTTTGATCATTATTTCCATCAGAATATGTAAAATAGTATGGAATCCCAGCGAAACTAACTCAATATGAAAAATTCGATTTTTCTCCTAAATGAGAGGTTAAAAATAATGAAACAACAGCACGTTGAAAACTAATGAAACAAAACGTATTTTTTCTATGCAATCTTATTTTCCAAGAAAATAAACAAAAGATAAATGATAATGAATAAAGACGTGTTCATTATAGATTATAGTTATCGGCTAAATAATAATGGAATTGATGTGATTATGAACTTCTTTAACTCTCTCACCATACGCAAACACACAATTTAACTACTCACTTTCATTATTTTTAGGAATCGCTCTGTATATGCTTAAAATGTTGTAAGAATAAAATCTTGTAGCCATAAATGTCAAGAGTGATAACTCAGTTGGACTACCTTTGAACCAGTTAATGAAAATATGATGAGATTGAGATTTTGAAAGGGACAGAATGAAAGCAATGGATTTCTTCATATATTTACGGAATTTGTTCTGATTTAACTAATTATTTACGACCTTTAAGTTATGCCGAATCTTATCATAATTCAGATTAGGTCAGAAGATGTTTCCAATGCAAGATTTGAAGGCCTTGTGCCTTATACTGTATGGCAGTCAAATATTCGTAATGCTCACCAGTTGAAAAAGAAAATGCAACAGTTTTAAGGTGGAAAATGATTTGAATACCATGGTTTATCAACTGATTTCCATTCAGTTTAGAGTGCTTCCAATAGAAGTAGAGAAGAATTGTGAAGTTTAACTACTCATCTTTTACTAGTCACTCATTACGTTTAACATAAGGCCTACTTTAAAACCCAAATATGCACGTGAACATTCACAGTCAGTTGCATGTGATAAATTATCATGCTGTTGTTAAAAGCATTCCGAAACATTTAAAGAGATCAAATGATGCTTTTGATGTAATTCCCAACGACGACGGGAAACTGTATCCTAAAATGTCACCCATTCCAACCCCCCGCTGGAAGTTTTCAACATTTAAGTTGATATGCCATTCACAAACCGTAAAAGTCTAAGAAGCCTAATACTCCGAACTACTATTCGGACTGAAATCTGCCTTCAGTAAGTGTTGTTGAAAGTATGGTTTTTGAGTCATATGGTTTGAAATCTTGATGTTAGGGACAAAGCGATAGACATCAGCAACTCAGGGAGTGGTGCAATTCCATATTGGCCTGTGTCACCATGCTCTGTACAGTTCAATTTGTGCAAAACTAACAACTTGATAACAAATGAGTAAAATATCCCGGAGTTCAATAGGGATCAGACTGTAAGAACTATAGACTTTAATCTGTCATATCCTAATAACTAGATACAAAGCATCACCATTCACTAACAGCTTCAAAGAAAAGTGCGCTTAAACCAACAAGACAACAAGTTAAGATATACAGGGCAGATAAGACAGTAGTCTCTCAACGTTTTTCATCATCTGCAGTTAGTAATATTGACATCCTAAATTAGGGATGGAGTGTTGTTAAATGCTCCTTCATCCTCAGTGGTTCTCTAGTTTATTTCATTGCGTAGTACGAATCACGTTGAAATGAATCTAGAATCTAAGGAACCAGTGGAGTTACACCTGCACTGCTATTTCTGAAACTGAAACTGATGCCCTCATTGAGATTTGGACCCACTTCACTCAGTGCTACAGTAAGAGATCATAAAATTTTGTAGGACCAAAATAGATTTGTTTGGTGTTTTTCTTAGATATCTACCAAATATTTCATCCATCAGTAACTGCCATAACACTAATTCGTGTAAAATGTTCTAGCAAAATAAGGTCAAGAGTTTAAAACAGCTGTAATAACTTACTTGCTGATAGTTAGTTGTGAAATCTAGAATGCGAGTTTTTCCCATTTTGGACTTGTCAGGCGAACTTGCCCGCAACCAGGTAAGTGATGGCGTTTTCAAGTTGGTTCCGAATTTCACTACTAGCCACCAATGACTAAGTTGTAACGGAATGAATACTCAGGCACTGTCGAGGCATTCAATTAGGAGTACATATGATAACAAAGATGGATCGGTCTGATGCATCATGAAAACAAAGAATGTGCAGTCAAAATGAGTGATTATCAGGCCGGGGAATAGAACATTTAAGATTCAAACAAGCCATTTCTCTCTGAATACTTTACTGTTGATTATTTAAGTCTTATTTCAAATGACTACTGATAAATGGTTTCAGTATGATTGAGCAACATACGTTTCTTGATATGCAAAAGCCCAGTGTTTGTCCCAGTTCCCTTCAGCCTGAATGTTTATAAACTAAAAGAAGAAAAACAACAACATTTGAATCACAAATGTTTCCGTTTTCGAATAACTTCTGAATTGATGCCAAACCACATATCATACTTCCAAGCCACTAAGATTTCATATAGGATTATTTTACAGTACATTTAGTAAAATCGAACCGTCATTCCCTCATGATTTTTTCACGCAAGGCGCTAATTCTCCCAAACTTTCCTTGAGCTGGCATTTCTCCAAGTTGATGAAATCATGTTCAGAAAGCTCATCTTTGATTTAAATTTATATTGCTACTTGCACCCTAACACTCAACCATAACCTTGTTACAAACTCCCTCAAGCCGGTTACTTAACTCTGGGTAGTTAAGCAGTTCCCATCATGTATTTATTCAAAAAAAGTAGCTTATGTGTCTTCTTTTCAGATCAGGTACAGCTCTTCACTTTTTCGCCAACATAGTTACAGTGAAATATGAACATTAGATGTACACTTTTTTCAAATCTTCCAGCATGAATCATGCGCTACGGAAATCCTTCAAGAAGATCAAGCAGTATCCAAAGGATCAGGTTTTCCTCGACATGATTCTTATGCAGGAACAGCTGGTGCAGGAATAAGAGCCACTGAAACTGATTCTAGAAGAGGAGCAGGTGACCTACTGGGAACGCGATGTCACCTGAGTGAATGGTCACCATGGAGTCCATGCACTGAAGTTGACTTGGACACTTGTTCAACTGGTGAAGCTAAAGCTTTCTGGGCAAATACACCTCCAAGAATTTGGAGGACAAGACATAGCCTTGGTCAGTCGAATGATCAGGATTGCTTATCTGCAAAACTAAAGGTAAGTTTCTGTTCTAAATCTATACTTCAAAGATGAGCTACTGTTTACCTAGATATAATCATATGATGGTAGAACTACCAGTAAAAGAAATATGTGATAGTATATATAGAAGAGTTCGAATTATATGCAAATAGTTAAATATACTTGCAGCACTTAAGACTTTAGTCACACCGAGCTGTTTGCTTTCAAAATCAGTCATGAGGTTCTTTTATTTATAGAGCTAACAAGTCACTGTTTGAAATCTCGTCATTACTCATTTCGGCGTATTTGCTGACTTGGCTGTTTCATCATAATGTGTGCAAATCACACTCATATATACTCTTCATTATATTACAGAATGTGTTTTCACTAAATTCGGTGTACAAAAAATGAAATAATCAGAGTTATCCAAAATCAGTAGAGATATAAGCTTACTTTTATAAAAGCAACTCTATTTTACTTTTGGTACACGGCGTACATGCTCAAAAGAAAACTAACGTATTCAATTCAACAGGCTTCACTGATCACGTTTTGGGGTCGTTATTTTACATCCCATTCGACGTTATTTGACATCTGACTTAAAATCTAGGGATACATTAAGAGAAATGAAGAAAAATACTCGAAGAAAGTTATTCCATAGAAGCGGAAAAAGCTGCTTTGTCTTTGACATCATAAGTAATAAAGCAATGAGTTTCCACAGAATGTGAGAACACATGTGTTGTTGCATCATCACCGTAATGCAGAAAAATGTTTGAAGGTTTCGTGGAAAGCAAGGCATGTTTCGTCTCAGTACACCTAGGTGCCACATATGATATGAGACAGAATTGAAGGTTAACAGTCAAATTTTTTCTCTGGCAGCCTGATACTTACACACACTTCAAAGAATGTCATTTTGTACTAGATCGATCTGTCAAGTAGTCATTAATTCTCATAGAGATACTCTTAAGTAAAACCGTAAGACACGCTTAGGTGAATTCTATTCTTCTCATCTAAAAAAATATGCATTTTGTACTTAATGACGAAATTTTTCATGCATCTACACTGGCCTTTAAATGCTTCAAAATCTATTTCAAAGGATATTATCCTAATGTAGGATATTCGGAACAACTTAAAAAAATCACTCCCATACAGTCACTTTATCTTCTTCTTCCTCAACCCTGAGTACTAAAAACCATCATACCATTACTGCTCTTCGTTATGCTGAAATTCATTCCACTGGGAATTAAAATCAATTAGTAAAAAACTTGTTTTACTTTGCAAAAGGAGGAATTGAAAAAAATCAGTTTAATTCAGGTTCCGAAAACAACTTTTGCCGTTTTTATAACTGGTTTCATGTTTGTTAAATTGGCTTGCTAAGGACTCACTGATTTAAGTTTTGATCATAATCTAATATAATTTAAGGCATTATTTGGAAACAGATAAGTACAAAAACCTATTCAGTTGTTTTTCGCGGATTGTGCTGCAATCAACATTCATGTTATAATGCTAAACAGTTGTGTATTATGAAATCAGTCATGTTGCAAAATGGTAAATTATGGGATAAATTTACAGACTGTTTAAGTTGTGAACCGTAGGCGCATGATCAACTGAGTGAATGGAAAATTGCTTATCTAACACCCTTCTAGAGCTAATACTAGACTGACTGAATATAATTTAAAGGAGGCTGGTTTCTAAATTTTGGCAAATTTAAAGGCTTGGTAATGATATTTCATTTCTTAATCATGGGTAAAAACAAATTTTGGAGAAAATATTCATTTAAATTTTCTCTTTCATGCTTATATTCGGTGATAAACACAAGTAGGTTCAACTTTCAAAACTCAAATATGTTCGAAGTTAATTCATTACTTACTCATTAGAGCATAAATTCAAGAAGAGTTGATTTTTCTGGCTTGTTCTGATTTATTATTGAAGTTTTCGATTAGTACAAACCATATTAGAGAGTAAGCATAACAAATTAAGGGTTATGAATATGCATCCCTTAAATTTTTACAAAATTTCACCAACCACATATGACATAAAACAACCTTTAAAAAAATATGAAAATATAATGAAATATCAGTCGATTTAGCAACACAGTGCTGATAATAATGGTAACTCGAACCGTTATGCAGTAAAACTTGGTCTTATGTTGATATTTATGATGATAATAATGGAAAATTCGTTTGGAAAGGACATCTAACCCAGTGGGAGTTAAAAGTTATTTAGAATCTGTGTTCACAAAGATACATATAAATATCTCAGAAGCCTATACCTGGCATGGAATGCAACTGGAATAAATATTTACGTCAAACCAAAACTAATATTATCGATTATGTAAAAATAACAAAAGAAATTTATATCAGATAGGCGGGTTAAAATGGGCGAAAACAAAATAGATACTTTAGGAATTTGAAGTAGATCAGAAAACAGCATGAGTGACCGATGAATCAATATCACTATCAAGTCAAATATAAGATCAACACCACGGTAGTGGCATACTTAAAGCTATCTGGTCCCGAATGAAGTATTTTTTTTAAATTATTACCTATGATGAAAAAAATACATTCTCTCCAATCATGTAAATAACTTTGAAATTATAGGAGGAAAGAGCATGCGACACTGCCACTTCAAAACAAATATGTGGACCGATTCCAGTTAGCACGCCACAAGCAAAGATGAGTTTTATGGACAAATGTAATACTTTACCGTGGGGTCCATGGTCTTCATGCATTAATGCTACATGTACACGTCCAGGTATGATTTATCGTTGGAGAGTTTTTCCTGATCATGTAGCAAAGACAGCATGTGAAAGACATCCTTTGGCAAGTCAAGTTGATACGTGTTGGCCACCATCCAATTTACACTGCTCTGTATCAGAACTTCAAACTGCCTGCCAAGAAGAACCTCCTACACCACAAAGATTATGCGTTCGACCACTCAACACAACCAAGAGGTTAGTTGATGAAAATATGTTCATGTTCATCATCTATGAATTTATTTCAGAGGATGTCATAATTTGAGAAGTTAAACATTCATTTATTTATTCTTCAAAGCCTATATATATATCTATATATGTCAACTGCTTGATGTAATTAGAATAATCAGTTGAATTCAGTATCAGAACACCTTTATGCATCAATTTCTGCTTTCGTTTCGCCTAAACATTTTATCCTGATAATCTAATGGATACATTACTGAATTACTAGAGTGCACACAACATTAAATGAGGCAATATATCCTATCATAAATTATTTGTTTTCCTTTTTTCAAAATGAATTTAACCTGTTCAGAATGATTAAACAGACAGGACATCGTCGAAACAAGCTAGATCTGTCCAAACTAACATTCAAAGGGCAGTGACTGGCATATCTATTTCCGCTGCAGTTTGAAGTTATATCTGGAATTATATGAATTATATTGCAGTAAATATTTTCTGTCCAGAAGGTAGCGAAATAAGAAGCATAATTTTGCAGCGTCAAAATAAGAATAAGTAAAGGTATTGTCTTTCTAAAGATAGGTCCATAGTGTTCAAAAGTCAGGACCAGCAAAACAATAATCAGATTTACTACGGTTGAAGTTAATTCCTTCATCCTACTTCCAACCTCTGTTGGTTTAATCTGATATTAGGCAACATAGATTACATCATACAAGATCAGTAATTTCTGACCCCGATTACTTTGCTTCTTCAAAAACGTGATCTATCTTGCGTGATGGTTTGTGTAATTTGGCTCACAAGAAATATTTCTCAGAATTAAACCTATTTCAGTAATGTAAACTGTGGTCACTTCAATGAAGAAAAGATGTCTTACTTAAGGCATGAAATTTCAAAATCAGTGTCGCAGTAGAAAAAACCCTTTCAGATATTTCAAATTCTACTGAATATTATCCAGTTTATTCAAATTTGAGCACTCAGTTGACTTAAAATATTGTAGAAACGCCCCCATGGGAAGCGACGAGTTGGACGTCCGAGGGTGACATGGAAAAGGTCGTGCGAGGAGGAAATGAGAGCTTCTGGGCTGTCGTGGAGCCAGGTTCAAAAGATTTCGGAGAACAGAGTTCACTGGGGACGTGCTACTGAAGCCCTATGTTTCATTAGGAACCCAAGGGACTAATAAATAATAATTGTAGAAACGCAGAGTTACAGTCACCGTGACAACAACAAAGAGAAAAACCGGGCTTCCTAGCAGACACTATTGAAAATATAAACATTGTAAAAGTAAAATTTAAGCTCTAAATAGCGTATAACCAGAAATCAGGTCTAACCACCTTTTCAGATACATACGAATACGAAAGAATTATCCCTGAGTTAACCATACAGTATGTGAAACCATCACCACTATGTGGTGTACTAATTAATGAATCTAGTTAAGATATCTAAAAAATAGTTCTACTGAGTATTTACTGATATCAAAAGTTAGAAAATACTACCTTGCTGTGCAGTTCTGTTTAACAGGGTGATGTAACGGAGCAAATTGGTTTTGGAAATATGTTTCAAATAGTCCTCATCTGCAAGTTAATTGATGAAATGAATGAGTGTGTTGGTTGAAATGCTTTCTGAAACATTACATCCTAGTGAGGAGAAAAGAGCTTGAATTTTGTTTGTAAGTACTCTCAAAGAAGAAATTTTTTGGGCAACTACTCAACTTATTTAACGTGTTCTAAAATTTATCTTTTCATGATTATAGCAATAAACGACAGTACTTGAAGGGGATTAAGTTTTGTTACTGAATTTTTTGGATTATAAACCTCAAACAAAAGCAAATAAGTAAATAAGACCTTGAGTTTTAACAATTATTATCCAATAAATGTACACGTGTTTGAGTTAATAGCCTTGTAAAACATTCTGAGGCCATTATTCCCTTGTTATTTCCTCATTCCTTCAGGTACTACTATTCATCTGCTAATAAACAATGCAAAGAATTTGAATACGTTCCCGAATGTCATCTACGTGCACTTGTTGCTAACCATCCAATCAGCTTAACACGTAATGTCTTTAAAGACCGTAACAGTTGTGAACAATTATGTACCCATAGGCAAATTCAAGCTGATGCTGTTTGGAACCCTATTGTTAAGAGAGAAATAGAAAGTTCCCTATCAGGATGTGAGCAGACATTTTTGAAAGGATCTTTGTGTTATTCAAACAAAAAGTCGTTTCGTTGGTATTATGACCGTCAACAGGATAAGTGTGTATCATTTGAATACCTAGGTTGCAATGGGAATGGAAACAACTTCAGAACAGAACACGAATGCAAAATGTAAGTGAATTTTTATTTCTTTGAAAAAAATATAATAACTAACAAGAGTTTAGCAAAAGTATATCACATTGACGCTGAAGACAAAAATTAAGCCTCATAAAGTAGATCATTGTGTTATAAAAGCCAGACTAGCAATACTGATATATTTAAAAGGATATTTTCATAGAATTCCTCTACAATGATGTATTTTTAAGAAAGCATCGTTTTGAACAAAAATAGTGTGAGATGAAGTTCCACCAATAATGACTAATAGCAGATGATAAATTTCTAGTCCGACCAGCCCTCAGATTCAGTGGTGAAAAGCCTTCTTAACCGAAATAGAAAGTGTTTATATGCATTCGATTGAAAACGATTTAATTTGCTGGAGTCTAAGCAGAAAAACTGTAATTTACAATGTAAATGCTTCAAAAAGGTATCCAAAGGGACTGGAAATTTGAAAGAGTATCCTTGACCTCCTCATATGCAAAATTCTGATGTAAGGAAGCGTAATCACGCAAATTTATTTGGCTATTCTATCACCCATGATCTTCCTGATTGTGGTGGACTGGACCATGCAGCAAACTGTGAGGAGCGAGAAGGCAGACATATGCTGTTTGACCAGTGAAAAGACCCTAGACGACTTAGGTTTCTTCGATGATTTATGTTTAATGTCGCACAAACTTGAAGGCGAAGACGAACAAGTTGCAGAAGAGGTGAGGCAAGGCAGCGAAGACGGGACTTCAAGTGAATGTAGAGAAGACGGAGGTGATAAAGATACCCAACGAACAACAGCACCAACAACAAGCACTAATCACCATCAACGGGAGAAACCTAAATAAAGTAATCTCTTTCACCTACCTTCCTAGGAGTCATTGTTTCACATACAGGCGGCACAGATGAGGATGTAAAAACCAGGATCGGAAAAGTAAGACAGGCTTTCACTTATCTGAAATCACTGTGGAGATCTACTGCACTCAGCACTCAGAATAAAGCGTGAACAACATCCGGATTTTCAACACCAATGTCAAGTCAGTGCTGCTATATGGTTCAGAGATTTGGCGCGTCATGACAAGCATTTCCAACAAACCACAGACATTCATCAATAGCTGCGTACACTCGATACTGAAGCTGAGATGGATAGAAGGAACAAGCAACGAGGAACTACAGGAAAGAACCAACCAAGAACCTATCACGTAACAGATATGCAGAAGGAAGTGGAAATTAGTTCGGCATACAATGAGAAGGCCGATTGGGAACATTATGTGCCAGGCCAGTCCCTCGAGTGGGATCCTAAGGGAAAACGACGACGGAGGTGAGGGTGACATGGAGAAGATCATTTGAGGAAGAAATGGAAGCTTGTGGGTAGTCGTGACGCTAGGTTCAAAAGACTGCAGAGAAGAGAGTGCAATGGACGCATGCTACTGAAGCCCTATGTTCCAGTAATAATAATAATAATTCCATCCGTAGCATGTATCACTTTGATTCCTATGAAAGTGAATGTGATATTATGCAGCTTTTTGTACTTGTACACTCTTCTGTTAATTTATACAATAAAATGATTCTTCAAATATGATGGATATTGTACGTACCGAAGGAATGATCAAGTCAGGGGTGTTGGATGGTATTTTTCTGCCAATAAACATTAATGTGTAGTTGTAACTTCCAGCAAAAATGTTTGTAGCGAAATTTGTTTTTCGTGAAGTCAATTCAATATATGATTGCTTGCCTTTCAAATTAGGGTTTTTCTGCTACACAAGATTAATAATTTAAGAAGAACTCAGTAATCCTCAATATTTACACAGTTTCCGATTTGAGAGCTATTCAGGATTGTAACAAATCAATTTCTGAAAGATTTATTAAGTTCTTATTTTCGTTTAAATATTTATCTATATAATAAAATTTGTGGATCTGTTACGACACTGAAATGTATACACTTGTGTTTCCTTAGCCACTTGAATTTCAAGCATATGTTTCATCTTTCTGTTACCTTTACCGAAAATCTTTTAATTTAAAAATTACTCAGTAATCAGTATGCAATGAAAAACACAAAACTACGTTTTCCGTCATAAAGGAAACTAACGAAAATAGTGAAAAAGATTTTTAGCTCAGGATCACGGTGTTTCGGTGTTTATGAATCTAGTTATCAGTTTACGTTGTATTTTAAATGTCTAATTAATTTAAAAACCAGTTTGCATGAAAGCAACGTTTAAGTGCATGCCTTTTGGATAGTTCTGAGGAACGATTGATTGAAGTATGAGGTTGAACATCAGTCAAATCCATGATACACATTTAGTCCTCAAGTGTACCTACATTCATCCCAGTTCATCAGCGTTAAAATTCAAACCTACTCCAGACATATGTGGCCTCAAATATTATAGCGTTATCCACCATGCCGCTCAGTAACGCGAAACACTTATTGTTGCTGATGCTTAGGCACCTTCCACTCATGGCTTATTGTTATTAGTATTTAGGTCTTGGTGAAATATTTAGTATTCGCTGGCATTGGAATGCACTATAAGTGTAATCGACTGTCAGCAAATCTAGCATCCATATGAGAAACCTGCACGTCAACAGAGATTATTCATTTCGATCTTGTTAATCTATAACATTTATTAAGCTACTTATTGACTTGATAGTCATAAAAATAAAATAGAATGCTTAATATAGTTTAGGTAAAAGTTAGTAAGGATTTTCGTCTTTAAGAGTAAATAGGAATAGTCCGTAAGTAGTATGGATGGATCGGATCGTCTTTTTGTGCGCAAAAAACAGAATCCTTGGGAACTGTGCATGAAAACCATATTCTGCAGTAGTTCAACCTATATTCACTGGTCAACATTCCTGTTAGTGTTTTGCATCAACTTATCACTTTAATTTATTCATTTGCATTTACCTTTCAGTTTCTTGATGACATACTTCTCAGCTAGCTGTTAAAAATTGTTATAATACCGCTAATAATTATCTAATTATCAATGAATACAGTGCCCTCAGCACAGTTGATAAGCCTCGGGATATACACAGGATCTTCAGCCAAATCTAAGTTCCTTGCTTTTTGAACAACTGTTCTTTTTAAAATGATGCTGAATGATGACAGTGTCTGCAATGGATTCGTTTTATGAAATAAACCAACAAATGTCATTAAGGAATTCCACTGTTTATTTCTTAGGTCTTATGTAAAACGTTTGTTTTACATAGAAGCTCATTTATATTAATCCTTAATAACATCGATAAATTCTAACGGTGATTATATTTACATTTTTAGAAAATGTATCGACCAGAAAAACACTGCAAAATATTCGGTGACTTCAAATATGACGAATATTAACGAGGAAGCCGTATCATATTTCAATAATAGCCATAATAAGTGGATTCAGATGCCTCAAGATTGCCGTTATACTGTATGGACGGACTGGTCAAGCTGCAGTGCCACCTGTGGACCAGGCACAAAGACACGCATACGTGAAAGAATATCAGCTAAATCAGAGAACTGTCAAAAGCTATTACCAGAGGTTGAGCAACAAGAAGCTTGCTTTGTTAAAGCCTGTTGATTTTCTTTCCTTCAATACTTTTTCTTCATTTGCTTAAATATTTTCACGTGTTTACCAATGACTACCTATAGAGATAAACTACTTATTCATGAAAAGACAACTAAGTAATTAATCTCAAATGCAGTAGTCGGATCATACACAAACTAATTATTATAAAAGTGCATTTATATTGCTTTATTTGTTTGTTTTTTGAGTAGAGGTTGTTTCTCAGTTGATGACCGAAAGTGGTTGTTAGTGTTAAATCACTTTCCTTTGCATTCCGTTTCACTACCTATGGCATTTAATCCTACAATTCTCATCCTTCGTCCTTGAGATATCACTGTTACTATTGTCACTTCTACTGTATTATTTGATATTGTTATTGTTGTAAACTAATAATTCATCTCAGTGGAAAATAACCTTCATTTATGAACTTGAGATTACTTCAGTTAAGTTTTCAGAGTGTATGACTTTTAAGCTTTCGGACTAAATTAATCATCAGGTTTCGAATATTATTCCACAAGTTCCAACAAATACTAGTGAGAAAAATCAGTCAGCCATAGTGAATTCCCAATTCATTTTTATTCGCCTTAAAAAATGGAAAACAGAACTTGCATGGAAGTCACCTCCGACAATTCGCTTATTTTAAATAATACAATTGCCAAGAGATAGAAATGCATCGTTTTCCCAGTATTATTATTATTGTTTACAACACAGAGAATTCTCAAATCTGTTGAAGTCATTTAAAAGATCTCGAAATCTGCGATGGAACAGTTCTGAGTTGACGAACTCTAGATCATTCTAGATCCGAAAGAGATTTGGAGATTTAGCTTGTTGTATTTGAAAACTAGATTTTGTTTAGGAAGAGGCATCCAAACTACGCAAGTAGTCAAATGTGGTGCAGCAAATATTCGTTTCCTTGAAACTACGAATGATCACTATAGAACTATGTTAGCTGACGAGAGAATCTGTCAATTCTTTTGTGAATTAAAAGACACTACAGTCTAATCCCAATTGTTCTGAGTGTGTGAAGGCCATCTTCTAAATCTTTTCTCCAGTAAAAATGAAAAGACCATGCTTTTAGATATGTCAGAGGTATTAGAGCGACCTTAAAGAGGGTATCCGTAGTTTTGAACATAAGATTTAGGTAGCAATGGCTCTCCAGTCCAAAGTTCTTGTGATTAAATTTAATAACTTCCTACCTACTGCCATCAGCTACAGCGGAAGGTGGAAACTAAAATGCTGCAAAAATCTTACGGATAGATAATGCTAGTCTTTTGAACAACTGCATTATCGGGAGAATACCGATTAGTTCCTACCAAGGTATCCCTAGTGCTTACATACGATCGTCAAAGTGTTTTAAAATAATGCAAACATGATAAAACATTGAGTGAAATAAGATCATATGATGGAACTGTATTGGTTAAATGGAAAAAGCTCTTCAATGTAGCCCGGTTCTTTTTCAAAACGCTGACAACTAGATCAGAGTAAATAATGCTGACATAGGTATTTTAGTTACAGATCATGTAACTTTGAAATAATCTGTATGAAGTTAACTAGATAGTTTCTGCTCTGTAGCAAAACTCAATAAATTTTAATGAAAATAACAAATTTATTTCTCGAACTGATTTAATTTAAAATATTTACTTAACACTTCAATCAGTAAGCAAACAGAATCAAACTGTAGATCTTTCCCTAATATGCATCACACACTGAAGCAGAATTATTTACTGGTAACGTCTGAAGTGGAATGTTTTGCTCATAATTATATCAAGATAACCACACAGTTTTCTGGTCTAGAATTCTGGCTTTTTTATTTTTCATTTTTTAGTTTAAGTGGTAGTTTAGTTTTTCACACACCCTTAATGGATGCTGCTTCATTTCTGTTACTACTGTCAGGCGCCGGTTTAGTGAACAAAGCTTCTGAAATAAACCTTTCTCCTCACATGAGCAAGTTGTTTCTTAAAATCATCAGTAAATCACATCCTATTGTGTGATTATGTATTACAGCACGGATGGCTACAGTTGATCACGTCTCTATATTTCTCAACTGAATATGGTCTATCATTTTATGTTTAGCTTGATTTACATGTTATACTATTTTAACTGGCAAAGGTCGGCTAATCTAACCGGTGTATTTAACCTTATAGCCATACAGTGGAGTTTGGTGAAGCGAATCGTCTTGTTTAATAGATTCGACAGCGACTCACTTTATGGCTAATTGAATTTAAAGGTTTAAATCCCATTCAAATCCCGGCCATGGTAAGAATCCTATTCATGGAAACCAACATATTTTATATAACCCGCGAAGAAAGGTATCAGTTTAATCTCATAGTCTAAATTAATTTATTTTATAGGTGAGCCTTCCGTTTTGTACAAACTGATCGCCTGTATGTTAGTGCTCACATAAACAAACTAGTCTTCTATAGTTACCGGTAATGGGCAATTTGTCAAATATCTGACTTTCCACAACCAGTGAAGAATATCATTTATTATTACGTAATCTTGTTTTGGAGACTGAAATGAATTAAAATTTCCTTGTTTCTTTATGATTATTTATCTAGTTATTTATCTTATTACTGTTGATGACAGTCGTTGCCTATCATTAATAATTTTCTGTAGTAAATTCGTGTGGCAGAAATGTTAAACATATAGGATGCAGACGTCATTTTGGTACCAAGAATTATCAAGTCTTCGTGAGTTAAGTCCTTAGAAAGGTGGAAATAGAAGACGCTTAGCCTAAAATGATAACTATCATACTGTGTTACCGTTTAGAGTGAGTTTCAACGATTCACTTCTTGCTCTAACATCTCGGAAACCTTATAGGCTATGGAAACAGGTGAGATGCTTTGACGCATGCGTAAAGTAAACATGTAAGTTTCAAAATGAAATATCTATTACAAATGAAATGAAATGCTTCAATTCGACTACAATTTTACTTCTTGTTACAGGATCTCATAGGTGAAAAGTATTTTAGGCTAGTATGCTATAATTAACTGTTAATATTTTAGGTAAAATATATGCAAGAAGGGGAATTGATTGGCGTTTATACCACTGAGTTTTGACAAAAACGGCATACAACTACTTCTGTGGTGCGTATTATGGACATAATCCGTAAAAGGTGTAAATTACTTCGTCGAAATGAGTCAGTATAGAAAGTAAACAATTTCACTAGGATAAACTGAAGAGTTGAAAGAATTCAGTCCAGTGTCAGATAAGATGGGAATTACAAACCTGTAATGAGATCATAGAACATGAGCGTTGAGTTAGTTTATCTGATATGGCACACAGTGAATATCATTATCATCATTTATCAAATGATGTTCAGTTTATGATTAATAATCATAGCAGGATGATCACACAACTTCTTGACCTGGTTTTATAATCCTATTTTTTTCTTTTTCTTTCTGCCAAAGTTTTTGCATAGGTAAAATCTGTTTCAAATCATACCTATTTGACTTGTTAGGCATCAAAACAATAATTAAGGATTCAGTGGCCAACTTCTTCAACCACCTAATTACATTACTTTGGGACTATTACTCCATTTCACCCTATTGTGCAGTTTTGTGCTATTACATACACTAAAGTGGCTGAATTCTCCCTTAGATTGCTGATCTTATTATGCTCCACCGATAAAGTCTTAGCTAAGATTCTATAGTCTGCCAGTCTGATCAGTTAACTAGATTTCACGGTCACTGAAGGATATTTGCTATATCACATCACTCCGTCTGGTTGAGTCAGTGGAATAGCTAAGCCGATAAATTTTATCTTTGAATAAATTTATACCATCATAATTCCAGTCTTACTGAGTATCGCAAGTCAGGTTTTTTGATTTCCCATTCTTATGTAACAGCACTTGAAAGGCTTCGAGTTCTCTTTTAGTTATGCTGTAGCTATCACTCACATGATTACTGCTCCTTTCTTCATGAATCCTTCTGAATTTTTGAATAACTTTCGAAAGCAATCACTCAGGCTTTTGACAAGGCCTATTTTTGTTAATTTTCCAGTCAGATGATCTGAAGTTCAGATATTTATTTAAGCGCTCTATCAATGAAAAGTGACCGACAGCTGGAGAGAATTTCTTTGCCTCTCATCCATTTTGAAGTACATACTTCAGAATAGCGAGTATCAAGTACCAAGTTTGAGCAAGTATATCTAAGCCATCAGGCTTCTAACAATCTTATTTTGTGCGGATATTACTGAAAATATTCTTCTGTTAGTTGACGTATGAAATGCGAAATTGAACAAAAATAAGAATGATGTAACTTTTTTTAAATAAGTGAAATAAGTCTTAAAGTCAATTTACATGTTTGTTACAAACCGTTCTTAAACCGATTCTATGAACATTGTGTTATCAAGCAAATAATAATGACTTTATTCTAGAGGCTATTTCGGGAACACTTTACAGAATGTTTAGCATGTCATATATCCTCAGTTGGACAGAAATAGTTTGCATATGTGCACAGTAAAATGAAATAAGTATAAATTACAAAGAAAAGATAAGATTATTCACTCTATTTACAATTTTCTTGGTAATGTAAGGTTAATATAGGTAGACAGTCACATTAGAAATTAGATTCATAATACATAAATAGTAACATGCTCGTCATAATCATCAGTTAGTTTGCTTTCAAAAACAGGAGTTGATTAGTTAATTCATTTCTAACTCTTTCTTCACTGCACAGCAGATGAGCTAAATACGGCATTGTAGAGTTTTTATATTCTGTATTACGTGCATACAGTTTTATGTACTTGCTCCTCGTCTTTCCAGAGAGCTCTGAGTAAAGAGGATGCTAGTCATCTGATAAAATAACTCTTGCCAGATGATTATATGAGTTAATATGTTTGTTCACAACTGTTTTAACTATGAGTTTTAGAGGTGCACCACTAGTTCTGATGACAATCTTTAAAGTTTTACGCAATGTAGCAAAGTCCTTTTTCAGTAACCCGGTAAAAAATAAAGGAGAATAACAAAGGAGGACAGATACGCTGGATTTGGATTTCGCTGATAACTTATGTCTAATGTCACACAAACTTGAAGATCTACAGGCAAAGTTCAGCAAGTTGACAGAAGAGGCAGCGAAGACAGTGAAAGCAGAGAAGACAGAAGTGATGGAGATTCCCAACCAACACCTACAACAACAACAAGCCCCAATCACTATCAACAGGAGAAACTCAAAGGTAGTAAACTCTTTCACCTATCTAGAAAGCACTGTTTCAACTACAGGCGGCACAGGCACGGACAAAGACGGCAAAGCCAGGATCCATAAGCCAACCAGGATCGGAAAAGCAAGACAAGCGTTCATTAACCTGAAACCAGTGTTGAGATCTTCCACACTCAGCATAAAGCAGGAACGAGTTCCGGATTTTCAACACCAACGTCAAGTAAGTCAGTGCTCCTGTATGGCTCAAAGACTTGGCACATTACGAAAGGCATTTCCAACAAACTACAGATATTCATCAACAACTGCCTATACTGGCTCGTTACTGAAGCTTAGATGGCCAGAATAGTGGGAATAAGCAACAAGAAACTCTGGCTGGTGACGAACTAACCAAGAACCTATCGTTCAACAAATATACAGTAGAAGGAGGTGGAGATGGATTGGATTGGGCATACACTGAGAAGACCGACTGGGGATATCACGCGCCAGGCCCTCGAGTGGAACCCAGATGGGAAACGACGAGTTGGGTTTCCCAGCTGAGGGTGACATGGAGAAGATCATGTGAAGAAGAAATGAGAGCTTGTGGTCAGTGGTGGAGCCAGGTTGAAAAGATTGCAGAGAAGAGAGTGGAATGAAGACATGCTAATGAAGCCCTATGCTCCACTAGGAACCCAAGGGACAAATAACAGTAAAACAAAGGAGGACAAGAGTTTATAAAACGCAAGAGGAGAGGCTGAGTAATATCAGATATTCTCGGCTTCCTAATATCCAAAGTTAGGCGGAAAATTCTTCTGGAAATTAGTAAGACATGGGAAGACCGGGAAAGACCCGAAGAAAAACACAC